CCTCCCCCCCTCCTTTTTTTTTACGCGCGAAAATATTTATCCTCGATTCACGTTTCGTTTCGTTAAACGGGCTCGTCTTCTCCCTCCATCAAGGTTTTCGATCTTCTCCACGCGAGAAGATCGGGTTATTGTAAAATAAGGATCGCGAATAATTTCGTTTAATGAAGTTTCAAGAATGGTTTAGAAGAATTATCACAATTGGGAAGATAAATTAATATAACTTTTTTTTTAAACACGCGTTCGAGGTAGGATGAATGGAAAGAAGTGTGTGTTCCTCTGTTTGTAACGTCGGTGCAATTTTATTTATTATTTCATTTTATTAATTTGGTAAAATTTGGTTGTTTCGAAATTAAAATCGTCGGATTCGACGACTGATCGTAATTATTATTACGATCGAGATATGTGTGTGTATATATGTATGTATGTATATTTATCTATTCGATTTGAATTTCGAACGACAGAAGTGAACGCGAATCCACGACGATTTGAATAATTTCGATTTCTCGATCGAATGGATATGAATTTACATTGACGCTGCGTCGGAACGTGGGGAAGAGGGTGGGAAGAGATAACTTTGCGATAATAAGTGGATATACGTTTTACAGTGATATTATTCCGAAAAAAAAAGAAAATAAAACGGGATCGTTTTATTGAAAGTTAAATAAATATCGAGTTTATAAATATGTGTAAGATGCGGCTAATATATCTTGTATATTTGTATATGCATGAACTGGGTTTCCATTATGTTTTGTCTGTTTTGTAGCAGGAGCTAATTAGAAAATTATTTTAATTTCAATTAAAATTATTGCAATTTATTATTTAAAATATGTACATAAACATAAATATATGAGTAAATATATAAATAAAATTAGCATTGCATTTAATTAATATAAAATAAAAAAATATACATAATAATATATAAAAAATATATAAATATATAATGTATAATATAATTTAAAATAAAATGGAAAAAAAATCAATATCTTGAATAAAAAAGACAAAATTATAGTTTTTTAAATATACACTATAATGTTAAAAATATACTTACAATTAAAAAAATGTTCTAGCTTTATTTGCTGTTTGAATCTAAATTCAATGACTCGCATATATAGAATGAGATACATTGGAGATTGGAGAATTTGTATTACAAATTGACAAGAGAGATAGTCGAATCTATTTTATTGAAAAAAAAATCATTGGTCATTCTCTGATCATATCCTTAAGTAATCATGCAAAATGTCTGCGTGACAGATATAGTAAAAAAGTTAGCAGGCAATTAACCTTGGAGAATTGGAAATGGTTTCTAAGAAAAAAAGTATTAAGATAAAAAATGCTTATTAATAAAAGAATGCTATTCTGTAAATAAATATGAACTAGATAAGGATTTAAACTAGATAAGGATTGATAATTTAAATAACAGTAAAAAAAGCATTGTAAGAAGACAGACATAACTCCTCAATTGATTAAAAGAAATATAAAAAAAGCCAAATAAAGTTAGGAATATCGTTATTGCTTATTTCTCCAAAATATAATAAATAAATAATAATAAAAATGCATATATTGTAACATAAGATAGCCTAAAATTAATCCATAAATATTAATGGATTAAAAGAATATATCTTGCCTGAACATAATGGAAACTCAGCCTGAATATATATAAATATATATCATGGTCGTAAACGTTAAAATTAATTTTAATACAGTTTTGCAAAATTTTGCGAATCAAATATAAATAAAAATAGAAAATTTCTACTAAATTTTCATATATCCAATTCTTATCTCGTGGAACAACGTAAAAATGTAAAAAATCATTGATAAATCATTACACTTAACATAAATTAATTAACATGAAGTAATTATTATAATTTTAAGCTTAATTTACAAAAAAGAACTTATCGATAATTTACAACGATTTAAATTAAAATAGACGTTTCGAGATGTCGTATCCGTTATAAAATTGAAATTTAAACCATTGAAATGTGACTCATCAATTATCAATTAGTTTTCGTATTTTAATCTGTAAACGTTTAAAAAGAGGATTTAAAATTTTAACGTACGATTGTTACATCGAAACGATTATTTTTTACACATTTGAAAATGAATTTCCTCCATTTAATAATACATTTACTCGAACATAACGAGGTAGTAAAATAAAGGATCATATCTATCATATCATCTATATACACACGTACAATTTATTCCTTTATTATAAATATATTCTTATCTTTAAAATCGAACGATCTCACAATATAAAAATTCAGAAGAAATATAAGAATTATATTATCGCTGAACGAATCATAGGCCCGCATCCTCCGTTTCATCGTCGTCGATGTCGAGATATCTGTCCAATCCCATGAAGAAAAAATACAACTTAATTATAGCAAGGCATACAAGTCCGATTACTTTGTTCACTTTTTCAGCGGCGACGTAATGATAGTACCTAAATCTGTCGAGGTAATACTTCAACGTATCCCTCGCGTTAACGCGTTTAACATTCTTCTCGTCCTCACGATCGGCCGTTCTTGAACGTTCCTCTGCATCCTCCGGTCGCGGCATCCCCTCCCTTCCTGTTAAATCAAACGGAGGTTTTAAAAAATTATATATACCCGAAGATTTATTTATTTATACAAAAAAAACGGAAACTTACGTCGTCGTTTGATCCTTCCTTCCATATTTACAGCATAACCTTATTTATCCTATAATACAAGCATATATATATATATATATATATAT